TTAACCCACGTGTTTAGAGTATCAGTATCTGAAGCAATCACATCTGCAACTATTTCCAGAAGTTCTTTATATCCTTATTAATTTATTTACAGTGCATGTTATTCTTTTGACAGTTTTCAGTTTGCTTTTGATTTTTTTTTTATCAAAAATATGTACGAGTATTTATATCATTTACAGAGTGAAATGATACTACGAGGTTTATAATAATAGTCAACTACCTCATTCTTGTCTAACTCGGATTCCTGTTCCTATGAGACAACTAATTTTACCTGTTTTGGTTGTTTCTTCTGCTGTTTATTTCTACCTTTCCAAATGACATTCTCATTTTGTTGTTTAAAATTTTTCTTATTTGAGCATGATCTATTGACTTCTTATGGATGATGAAGAATTAGCATTTTTACACAAGCCACCTATACACAACTCCCTTTTTCCATCCTTACAGTATAGTTATGTCAAGGTTTACATTATTATATCTGAGGCACTAGTATATTATGATTTGCATTTTAGTTTTTCCTGATGTACTTTAGTTTTCCTTTTTAGTTTTTTCTATGTCAGATGTTTTGTTTGGTTGATTAGCTATTTGTATACATATCACCAGTTTATTCCCAAATTCCTTGCTAGAGCAGTAAAATTACTCTCAATATTTTTACTATTTTAATATACATCATTTCCTGTTAATCACCTGCAAGTAGTCTACACATCTACTTTTTTTCTTGGAAATATCTTTCCTTGAGTTTCCATCCTCTGCTCCAGTCTGTGCTTATTCTCTAGGCTCCCCATCACCCCTGTGGTTTCCTTCACCACTCACCTGTGCAAGATCCCTTTTCTCCTTTTTCCTGGATCCTGTGTCTTCCTCTTTCCAGGTTTACTTCTTCAGTTTGATAGAGTACACCCTAGTGGCTTCCTGAAAGAGACTGTGATTGAGGTATATTTTTTGAGATTTTGCATTCTACCCTTATATATTTTTTTCTACCCTTATATTTGATAATTTGGGTACAGAATTCTAGATTCGAAATCATTTTCCCCCCTCAGGGTTTTGAAGGCATTACTCAATTATCTTCTAGGTTCCTGTGTTACCATTAAAAATTCCAGTGTCATCTGATCTTTTGGTCCTTTGTAGGTGATCGTTTTGGCCTTTCTAAAAGTTCTTAAGATCTTTTATATATCATTCTAAACTTTTTTTTCTAAAAGTACCCATCTTGTAATCTAAATACAGGATAATTTACTTAATCTTCTTGAAACAGAGAGGACAAGAAAGAATGAAAATACAATATGACCTAACAGTGTGTTTGGTACTTTAGTATTTGTAGAATTAAAAGGTTCATCTGCTCATTTTTGGTATTGGCTCAATATTTTATTAAATTAAATAGGAGATTCAAGGTGTAGGTCAATACAAAGGTTTATCTTAGCAGTAAAACTGGAGCCAAATTTTACTCACTCGGAAGATTAGGTAGTATGGACTTTGTTACTGAAGGTGAGGGGGATATTTGATGTGTTCATTCTGTAGTTACTACCCTCGTTTAATGCAGTTTCCTTAGAGCAAGCTATCTCATACTTTACACTGAGATGTTATATGACTTATAATATCATGTCAATATTACTTAATAGCCTTCTCCTTTTATTTGCTGGTTTCACTTGGCTTTTGTTTTTCATCCTTATTATGGAGAAAGATTTGAACCAGGCTTTGCCATTAAATTCATTAAACTTTTCTTATATAAATGGCCTTGCACAATGAGCTCATCTGGTTGGCTCTGGTTTTACTACTGGTTTTGAGGAAAGTTATATCATGAAAACATGTACTGATCCTCTGCATTACAACAAATTACTAATCATCTTCCCTCTAAAAAAAGTTTTACTGATACAGCCACAAAACTATTTTTCACCCCATGCAAGTGTACAAGTGAAGATGTTTGCTTCAAATAGATTCTGAGGAAGTTATTTTGAATAACTGTTTCAGCCTCAGTTTAGGTTAGGATAAAGGGAGCCTCTTAGGAGACCTCCAAAAAAACAGTTTAAGAGTGAAAAATAGGATAGACTGGATAAAAAGATAGTACTGAGTTTTCCACAACAAGTTGATAATGGGAAACATTAGTTATTTCTCTTTACTTTATAGCAATCTGTATTTCAGGCTCCTCCCCTGTTACTACAAATGTAGTTATTCTCATTCATTGGAGGATTTGAGAGGACTGAACTACTCTTTGCATTCATCCCTTACCTCGTAATCCTTCTGCAACATTTAGTTTTCTTTGATTCTGAAGAAAACACCTTGGCCTTTGTTTTTACTGGCATCATTTCTTGTCTCTCTCTGCTTGGCATCATTTTAGAAATCTTCACTGTTTTCTGCTGCTCATGGAAAGCCAACTGGAAGCATTATGATGTTGACAAAGAGCATTTTTTGATATAGTTTAAACTGCACAAAATAGAAACTTACTTATGGGAATAGATCAAATATTTTATAATGTTATCTCAGAGGAGAATGAAAAATTTTTCTTAAACTGAGCATAACATACATTACTGAAATGTGAATATTCTTTTTTCTAAATCTCATTTTTTTAATTGAGAAAAATAAGAGATCAAAAGATTTATCAACTTTTAATTAGTATGAGTGTTAAAAAATAGATGCTATTCCTCAAAAATGGGGAGAAAAATCTTACTTATCTTTGAAAGTTTTCATGTTCTGGATTTCTGAAGGCAAAGCTGTCAAAAAGGACTTTCTTGTACCTTATACTTATGAAAGTACACTGCAGTGTGTAATTAATTGAGAGTTGCATAGATAAAAGACAAAAACCCTGTGACATCTTTTCCTGATATGAGTATTCTGAAAGTTGGAGAATGGTTTAGCAAACCTGTTCTTTTGTTTCATATATTTATAAAAGGCAGCACTTTATTCTTAATCATCTGGTTCTAAAACAATTTAAAGAGGAAGGGCTTGTAATAATCTGATGAATCCCGTTCTCCATCCTGTCTGAATTCTTCTTCACTTATCCTTACCTTAAGATCTCTCCTATCTTACATGATTTAGAGTCCTGTAGAATTTTGTCTGTCTTTCTGATAGATCCATATTCACCTCACAAAAAATTACATTTTAGACTTGTGTAGAATATCAGGGCTAATGGAATTGCTTGGCTAGCTAAATTGCTCATTCTTAGCCAGGCCAGTCACTTATATCCAGTTCTCAATTCTCTCATATGAGATTAAGAGAAAACTTCACTTTCTTAAAATGTTAGGAAAAATCGCCTTTTTCACTTTTTTTCCAATTAGTTTGGTAACGGTTGTCTATAAGAAAAATATAATCCGAAAGATTATTCTGTTTACTTTTTCATCGAGGCTTAACTTCGTAGGGAGAGAGAATGTTTTGGTATTCAGTCTAATTACTTAGATTTCATCAAGGGTGGCTTTTTTTTTTTTTTTTTTTTTTTTTTTTTTTTTTTTTTTTTTCCGGGTCC